CCGCCCCCAAAAGTAAAGAAAAATGTCTGTGCGTCTTATAGAGCGAATGTGTGTGTGCAGTAAGTCTGTCAGATGTGCAGCATGGTGTGCCCGACGCCCGGGACATGTAATACCACTGCCGGGACGCTGCTGGCCCCCCTGCACCACACGGCACCACCTGGCCGGCACACGCTCGGCGCACCCTGCTCCACCCCCCCCTCCGGCGCAGGTGAGAGCTGTGCCACTCACGGGGAGGGGTATGGAGGAGGAGCAGCTGTGGGCTTTAACCTGTCGGCCACGGCCAAGCCGGCCCCACGGAGAGATGGACTGGGACGGACTGCCCACCCCCACCGCCTGGGAAGACCTGCTGCCGCCGCCCGGAAGACCACCGCTGGGACACTGCTGGCCTGCCTGCACCACCTGGCACCACCTGGCCAGCACATGCTTGGCGCACCCTGCTCCACACCCCCCCTCCGGCACAGGTGAGCTTCCTGATAATCACAGGTCGGTGTGTGTTTTCAAATGGCAACCCGTCTTTTAATGAAGCCCATAGGGAAGTGATGGGGAATGTCCCTGTAATTATCAGGAAGCTTTCCATGGATAAGAATAGTTTAGTAAACCATTTGATTCAGAATATTTTTTTTCTTGTTTTCCTCCTCTAAAAACTAGGTGTGTCTTATGGTCAGGTGCGTCTTATAGAGCGAAAAATACGGCAGTTTTGGAATGGCCAAAAGTTCATTGGAAAATCACCACCATTAATTCTTGAGCACAGATTTCTCTTCTTGTTCTCTTCTTGTTTGCTTTGTGGTCTACCATTTTTCAAAGATAAATGTCCATTTCTGAAACCCTGGAAATAGTTACTGTATCTGTCAGGAATGAAGTTGGAGGTTAACGAGAGTTAAAAGTGAGGGGCAGAAGTCTCCAAACCACCAGAAAGCATATTGTGTTGTACCTCTAGAAAATATGTGTGGTTCTGGGATACACTGCACATATAAGAAACCCTAAAGTAAGGTTGAAACCATTCCAATTATGCCTTATTAGGAAGGCAAGCCTTCATGTCAGTATTTCTCTCTCCTTGTTTGTATACTTTCTTGGATGTAGTGCACCTAAAAGAGCATCTGATCCCCTGTAAGCTGGGTGGAGCTCAGGACCACAGGAACCTGCCTTCTAGAAAGCTGTACTGTTAACACTGACTGGCAGCAGCTTTCCAAGGTTTCATGCCAGAGTTTTCCAACACAATCTGGAGATACCATTGACTGAACCTCAGACTTTCTACATGCAAGGCAAAGGGTTGCACTGGTTTTTCTTTCACTCTGAAGGTCTTTGGAACACTAGGATGCCAAGACAGCCTCCTCTAGACCAAACCCTGTTTGAGTACAGAACAGCAATGTTAAAAATTAACTCCATTGAACCAGCAACAATAGAACAGATCATCAGTGCACTCACAGAAATGGCTACTGAGCTAGATATTTTGCGGCATAGAATATGATATGAAACCATAGAATGGGCTGTGAAACGCAGATGTGTGAATGTTTCCCCTGAAAGTTGCTCTTTAAATTAACCCTGAGTGACTGCAGGAGGTTTGCATCTGGATCAGGCAGCACAGAAAGGGGAAGGTGTGCACAACCAGTCCAGTCTGCAGAACTGCAAGTGATGTTGGCTCAAGAACTGGAAGCCACATACACTCTCATATCCCAATGATACCAAAGATACAGATACTGCTTTCCACACTGCTGGCAGGAAAAAGGCAGTAACTATATGACTGTCTCTGAGCGTAAAGAGTAGAGATAATAAAAAATCAACATGAAGCCCTGGCTGTGGTAGTTAGTGCTCCCTGGTGGGGGTGTACAATACAAGTTTTGCACCCCTGTTGTAGACATGTTGGTTTTTCTTATTATACACCCCCACTATGACCAGACACACCCCAAGCTACTTTTTGCTCCTTGTTGGAAAAAAACAGGAGTTCCTATCATTTCCTCCATGGTACAATAGGCAGGTCAAAGAAAATAATTTTGCTAAGAGCAGTGCTCTTTTCCCACTCTCCACTGCAAAATTCTGATCCAGACTACAGTTTCCCGTCACTGGCTTAGTTTAAAAAAATTAAATAGGAAAGTCACAGAGTCTGATCCTTAAGAGCTGTCCAAAAGAAGCACTATTCATTCTTAGAAGATCATTTACTAGAAAAGATCAAGCTTAGTACATTTTAATTATGCTCATTTCTCATTCATTGCTGGGTCTGTGAATTGAGATCTATAGAACTTTGCTAAGGAGAGCAATTTTTGTCCTCATGACCCTTTATGATGTTCTTGTACATTATTCTATTTTTTACAAATAAGATGTTTATGTAGTTCATCAATTTACACTATGAAGTAAATAACATATGTTTTACAAAGACTACTACTGATTCCCAGTGTCATCCATGTTGTCCAATATTTGCATTGATGCATAATACACTACTTTGTGGGTTACAAAAACATTGGAAAGATCATTCAGTTTCTCAGTAAAAGCCAATGAGTAAATGCATTCTGTCATTAAAAGAAAGGACATATTGTTTTATCACATTTTGAAGGTAATGATTAACATGCTGTTCACACTAATGGGTCTCAATTTTAGATACAGAGGAAACCAGTTTACCTCATAATTCCTTCATAAAAATGCAAACTGCACAAGGATATAAATGTTAATGCCCTTCTTAAAGGTCCATAATTTTGATCTTTTTAAACATCTAGCACTTGTTGTCAAGCTGTTGAAACCATAGAAACATAGAAACAGAGCGAGTCAGAAGGGACCTCCTGGGCCAGCTAGTCTGACCCCCCCCCCGCTCCAGCTGGCTCCATTCATGACATGCCTACCATGTGCATGCCCAGCCTAGCCTTAAACACCCTCACCGATGGGGCCTCAACCACCTCTCATGGAAGCCCATTCCATACCCTCAGGGTCCTAACCATCAGCAGTACTTCCTGGCATCCACCCTAAATCTTGGTTTCCTGAGTTTTGCTCCATTGGAACGTGCCCTGCCCTCCACTGCAGGGGGAAAAAGGTCATGACCCACCCCTGTGTGGCAGCCCCTCACATACCTGTAGGTCACTAACAGGTCCCCTCTGAGTCTCCTCCTCTCAGAGCTGAAAAGACCCAGTTCCCTCAGTCTCTCTTCATATGGCTTACCCTGCAAGACAGCCACCATCCAAATGGCCCTTCACTGCACTGATTCCAACCTTGCCATATCCCTCGTGTAATGAGGGGCCCAGAACTGAACACAATACTTCAGCTGCAGGTGCACCAGAGTCATATAGAGTATTGTAGTTTCTAAAATGTAATATCCAATATATATAGTTGTAGGTCATTCCCGTCGATAAATGAAGCAGTGTATTTAAATATTTAAATATTGAGTCGAGAGATGAAGCATTTGCCAAGGTTAGATACAGAAGGGTGGATTTAGGTTGGCTCTTTGCATTCACAAAACATACTGAGATTTAATGAAGACTCTCTGCTGAAAGAAAGGGTGGAGGAGACCTTTTCCAAAGTTTCCCCATTTGTCCTGCAGTCCTGCGCACTGCCTCTCATGCTGCCCTAAAGGGCCTCCCAACCCACTGAAACAGAGTTCAGAAGGTTGAGGAGCCAGAAACAGAAGCAGAAGGAGTGGAACCAGAAAGAGGGATCAGTAAAAAATTAATTTCTGCCCTCAGGCCTTAGTGGATTTCTAGGATCCAGCCTGAAAGCTGAAATAAATGTTTACAACTCTTGTTCAAAATTACCACCTTTTTCCTCTACTGAAATGATTCCATGGTTTCTACAGAATTCCACAATCCAGAGCAAAATTAAAGGTTTATTTCCCAACTTCTGGACAGTCTTAGGTATGTGTCATGTTGTGCAGCACTATGTTCATGGTAAAAATGAGTGTATCACTTTATGTGTGTGATAGCTGGTGCTTTTCAAGTGTCAAGAAAGTCCAAATAAAGCCTTAAAATAAAATATATACTTTTGTGTGGCTTTTAATATAAAATCTGGCCGCAGTGCCTTACTCCTCTCCACCCAAAGAGACTAGAATGTTTACACCCACCCCATATGCCTGGGAAAGCAGGTATGGTTTGCACTATTCATCCATTCTCTTGCAGTGCAGCTCATACATGCGCAGGAGTCTGTGAGTTACAAAGTATCCGTAGGAGAGAGCGGTGCTTTTTTTTGTCATAGAACGCACCGGAATGGAGTTTCCGCACCTTTTTTCAATGGATTTTCCAAGTTTTAAAAGTAACTTTTGAAAAGTTGATGTTTGGTCCACTTGGATTCAAATCGCCCTGTCGAGCGTAGCAGGTTGGCGGCAAACTCATTAAAAGAGTGCATGCGGGCTGCTTGTGTGTCAAGTCCGATTCATGTGTACTTCGTATGCGCTGGTTGTGATGGCGCTGCTCAGCTTGTGGCACTGCTCGGCTTGTGATTGGTCGTGTGGTCGTGCACTGAGCTTACTGCGGGTGGCAGCTGTTATGTTTTGTTACACACCTGACGTGTGTGGGTTGTGCACAGTGATTGACTACGTGTGAAAGGTAAATAATTTCATGAGTTCCGGCACCTTTTTTCTTACAAAAAAAGCACTGGGAGAGAGCATGGCATCTGTCTTGTGTTCAGGAATGCTCACATGTGCCATGAGTTAGTGGACTGCTACACTGATACGTTCCTCTGCTACTATGCAGAAGAAGAAAGTGAAATAATGTTTCTTGCAAGCTCTCAAGTTACCTGAAGCAACCCTGCGTAGATTCTCTTTGTGCAAATACAATCCCCTTCCTTGGAATATTAGAAATGTTAAAACCTGCACTCAGGACCTGTTGTAATTCATATCCTTTGACTGCCTATCTGGTCATCAGTCATTCAAATATTGTATGTCTCTGTAACATTTGCAACATCCTTTATATTGTTCTACTGGTTCTCTGACCGTCTTCTGTAAATGTTCTCATTCATATCTCATTACCACTCTGAAACTGTGTATGTGACCCATACCTATAAAAACTCTGTGTATGCTCTGGAACACTCATAGTCAGCTTGGTATATTGACCATCTGACAGTCCTGTTGTTTTTCTCTGACAGAGAGAGGTACCTAGTTGTTTTGCCAATAAACTGCTGTGACTGAGCATAGTGTCTTCCATGTGAATCCAAACATACGTTCTCCTGGCCCTGCTATCAATTCCCTGACACAAGCAAACATTTAGAGTTTCAAAAAGATTCCCAACAGATTTGTTTTCAGTATATACATACACACATACACACATTTAGTATTTACATTTTCTGTGCTGCATAATTAAAGATCAGGTTTCACTTCTTTTTCCACTGTGAAAATGAATTATGGACTGATTAGATTAGAGCCAATCATATCATGCAAAACATCAACCTGAAATAGAAAAAAGGGGTATGAACATGGAGTTAAAAAAAAAACACAATTACCTGAAGGCAAGTTATCAAAACTAAGAAAAATATATGTATTGAACTGACTATGAGCTGAAAGAGACCTGACCTCCTGGAGTAAGCAAAACATGCTACTGCCTTACATTGCTAATTGGAATGCATTGTGATCTTCTGGGATCCTTCTTTTGTCTAGTGATGCCTTTAGTTACCCCAATAAACTTTTATAGAACCAGGGGACAGAGATGAGACACCCAATTCTACATTTGGTTGCCCTAGCACAAGAATAAGTAAAATGAAAAGTAATTTTGCTGGACTGTAAGATGACCTTCTTGAGTTGTCATCTGTGCATTCACACATATGGACACTGCATCTGTGGAGTGCCTGCTGCCAGGAAAGCTAAGCTTGTTTTGGTGGAAACCCTGCCCTTAGATGCTAGGAGGAGAGAAAAGTGGGGTTTCTGCCAAAATGAGCTTAGCCAGGAAAAGCTTCCCAACAGCAGGCCCCTCAGGCAGGCACAGCACCCATAGGTGTGATGCACAGAGACCTTCATTACGCTGTACTTTGATAAAGGGAGCTTACAATATTTATGATACATCATGATCTTCTGGGATCCTTCTTTTGTCTAGTGTTGCCTTTTAGTTATCCCCAATAAACTGTTAATAAATAGAGAACAGAAATGAGACACCCAATTCTAAACTTGGCTGCCCTAGCACAAGAGTGAGTAAATGGAACTTGATGTAATCATACATTCAAATACTATGCTGCATTTTAAGGCTGCAATCCTGTACCCATTTACCTAAAAGTAAGCTGCACTGAAATCAGTGGAGCTTATTTCTGAGTAGACATGCCTAGTTAATACATAGTAAAATTGTTTTTTAGAACTGGGTTTTTTTTAATTACTCCTTGTGCAGGGTGCTTTCCTAACATGCCTTTAGCTTATTAGGAAGAAATTATGAATGACCAAAGTTGATAATTGAGGTCTGAGCACTTTTTGCATTAGGTTCCCTTCTGGATTCTTCTTCCAGCTACCCCGTATGTACTTTGTAGGACTGTTTGCATGATATAACAGCTCACTGTGGGCTATTTTAAGACTGTGGGTGCATACGGTTGTCATTTTAAATAAGCAACACCTCCTCTAGCATTGTTAGGTTGTGCAAACCAAGCAAGTGTCAGTTATACTAGAGTTAAACAATCCATGTTGTTTACCCCTCATACAATCCCACTCAGCTGGTTTGTACAATGTAAACAGCCCTGAGCATAGACTGCATATTCAATATGGCACCTGCAGAGGCTGCCACTTGTCCTAGGTCAGTGGTGGTGAACCCATGGCATGCGTGCCGCAGTGGGCATACAGAGCCCTCTCTGTTGGCACATGAGCCAAGTCACCCCAGCAGCTGAGCAACAAATAACAGCTCACATAGGGGCCATGTGCATGCTCGGAAAGGTGTAGTGGCGCCAGGAGATGGTGTCATCTCATTAGCTGCAACTTGTCCAAGTTTTTGCATGGCCGGTCAGTGTGCTGCCAAGGATATATATATATATATTTGCTTGGACTGGATGTGAGTTGTTTTTTCAAAACTAAAACCTCAGTATTCAGGTTTTATTGCAGTGTTGGCACTTTGCAATAAATAACTGTTTTGGGTTGCAGTTTGGGCACTCTAAAAGTTCGCCATCGCTGTCCTAGGTTATTTATACTTGCATATGTAACTCACAACAAGCCAAGGCATTTCATCTGGCCCTGGTCATTATAAACCTGAAACTGTCTCTAATGCTTCATGTACGAGTTATCTGTTGAAATGGACAAAATGAAAGTTCCTGCCAGAAAAAGAAAAAAAAAGTCTTTAAGGTATTACAAGATGTTGCTGTTTTTGCTGAAATTGACTCACACAGTTAAACTCTGGAAAATGTTCTGATTTCATTTGTGAATGGTACTACCACACTGTGATCAAATCCACGGTGTACAGAAGCCTGATTCCACAGTGAATCATGTGTGGTGCAACACTGTGGCCACAGGTCAAATGCCTAAACAGGCCCAAGGCTGTTAAGTATGAACAGAAGATTAGTTTGTACTGTTTGTACGAGTGTGAGCATTTCGGCTCTTTGCAGGGACCCATGCAGGGACCCAGCTTAGTTTCTAATATGGTAATATATACCTTCTTTCTGTCCAGGGCTGCCATATCTCTTAGTGCATACACAGTGACAAATCCATCACTGTCCCCAAGCAGAAGACAATCTGTATTTTTAGCAAAAAGTACAGTTGTGAATTTCAAATTTCCAGTGGCAGGATTCACAATCAGGGGATCCAGTCTGCATATAAAATAATAAAATATATCACATACTATCAGAGTTGTAGATTTGTTTGAAAGGCACCATGGCTTTGAGGTGAGAACGTTGGACTGGAACTTGAGAGATCCCATTGCGGTCAACTAAATGCCTGATAAGTTTATATTAAAAATGCTTGTCCAATTTACCAATTAAGCCACTGGCCTGTAATTTTCTGGATTCCCTCCAGGTTTTTTTAAAAAATTCCAGTGCCCTGGTTTAGATTAGACCTGTAGTGTTCTGTGTGCATGTGTATTAAACTAAACTCTTCCCATCTTTTTAATGAAATTCCATAACCCTCACTGACAGAGCAGGGTTTTTTTTTCTTAAAGTCACTGTTATCTGCAATGGGAGACTTTTTTCCTCCTCTTCCTTGTCTACTTTGTTTTCTAACTCACCTGTGGTGGTGAAAATTTCTGAACAAAAAATTTGTAGGACATTTTATAATCCCCCTCCAGAGCACTGTAGCCCTAGTCTGACTCACAGCTGCCCATGCTTACAATGGAGTGAAACACATATTTTTACTTTGCATTATTAGAAGAATAGTTCAGCCCCACACTGCAGCATTCTGCCTGTCACCTCATGTCTGAAGGTGAGTTTTGTGTGTGGAAGTGCTGAGCTACTATTTTGCATGATTAAATGAAAGAATCCAGGCTTGTGATATCTGCATATCAATGGGAATGGGCAACAGGGAAATGCCACTGTTTGCTTGCATGTTGTCTTCCTCATAGCTGAGAACTAGATGCTATAGCAAACATGAAGTTGCTACTAAAAAACCTATCTCCTTCTCCCTGGTTCTGCCAGCAAGACAAGCTATGTGACATGTCACTATTGTGCTCTTGAACTTCCTCATCTTGCAAGGGGCAGCTGATGATGTGGACTAGTGCTAAGGAGACTTGGAGTGCAAAGACATCCTGCCTTGTCTTTTACTGCACCTTAGAGTCCAAAGGAGATGATGCAATGGGAGGAGGCCGCGGTTTTCAGCAGTGACCATGAAAGTAGTTCATGCTTTATACTCCATATTGGATGTTCTTCCTTCTCCCCTTGCAACAGAGAGGAAATATGGACAGAAATAACACAAGTAACATCCAAGGGGCTAATGTTGCCAATGAGATGCAGTGCTTATGCCTGAACATGCACTGTGGCCTGCAGCCTTTTCAGGAAGTGCTTCCAGGGGAGGCTGGTGACTCCTATGTCAGTAGGGCTGTTCTTCCATCACAGCTTTTACTTTGAACTCACTTATTTTAGGAGTCATCCATGGTACTCCAGAGAGCTCAAAAAAGCTTCACCACAGTGCAGTAACTATGAAGCTCATCAGGTGCACCTCTCAGAACCTCCTTCATTTGTGTCTGGCTTCCTCTCCTCCTTCCATCTCAAGAATTAGCCGCAATTGCTTATCACATGGGGCTTCAAGGTGGATGAGCAAGGAATCCATTTGGGGGTGGGAAATGGGGGGGTACCCAGACTCTGGTCTGTTTTGCAACAACCTGGCAGGTACAAGTTCCTGGCAAGCTCACCCAGTGATCACAGGTAGCCACCTGGCTTTGACTGAATCTAATGCATGAGCTTCCCCTACCAAGAGAGTTGCTTAGCAAATAGGAAGGTCTTACAATGGTTACAAAACTGTCAATGAAATGTGACACTTTGAAATATAGTGGAGTGCTATGCCATGCACCACACATTATTTTCAAGAATAACCATTATAGCACATTTTGATATATCCATTTCCAAATTACCTTTAAGAAATGTTCTAACTTACGTGCTGACACTAAGATCCCAGATTTCCACTCTAGTCTCATTCACTGCTGCAAACACATATGCTGAATTAGGAGACCACATGATGTCGTAAATAACATTGGTAGTAGAACTGAAAGCCAAAACAGGGCGAACTGAATCCTGGCGCCATAAGATAATACTCCAGTCAGCTGAACAACTTAAAAACACTTCTGTACTGAATGGATTCCATGCTATCTTGTACACGGGGCCCTTAATGAGAGAGAGAGAGAGAGAGAGAGAGAGAGAGAGAGAGAGAGAGAGAGAGAGGTGAAATCGCGCTTCAACATAAAGCTGTTAACATGACAACATTTCCCCATCTCTGCTCCTGCCCTCTCCCCTGCTCCAGTCTTGCTTCTGGCATTCCTTGGGACTATCAACAAGTCCGGCGGTCATCTCCTTCCCACCCTCTGAACCTTCTGACACCCACTGCTTCCAGGTGTGGATCTGGAAGGACCACCCATGGAAGTTCCACTGTTAAAGCTTCCATCCCAGCATGGATGCCAGCCTCCTTCCTGGCAGCACCTACATTAGAGTGTCCCTCTGGACTTCTTGCTTGCCCCACAGAGAGATTGTGGGGATAGCAGATTGGGCCTTGGTGCAGTTGCTTCCCCCCATAGCCCCATGAGTGGCTAGCTATGCACATGGATGTGTAGGCATATTTGGTGCAGATAGGGAGTGGGCAGTACCAGGAGTAGTGAACAGCAGAAGTGGGGCACCTGCATCTAGCAGCTGAATGCATGCTAGCATGGGGTGGGGTGCTGTGGGGGAGGGAGAAAGTGTGTGGGCACAACTGTAGGGCATCAGACTTTGTGCAGCAGCAGAAGGGACTGCTGAATTTATTGACACTTGCCCTGCTTTTCTTTCTAGCACAGCTCCCCTTTCCCTGCACTCGAGGCCCCTTGATACTGCGGAAATAAAGACATGTTTTGCAACAGAAGTAGGGTCCTTGTGGGAGAGCTGGATGGAGAGGCATGAGGGGCAGTGACAGATGAGTCCACTCATAGTATGACTTGGATGCCAGGGTGAACCACCTTCACACATGTTAGTGTAGGCAGAGGTGAGGGAGGGGCTTCTGAGTGTGGGATGTGGGGCATTGGGGATGAGGTTGGCTGCAGCTGTGGCATGGAATGCAGTAAGGGAGGGCACAGTCTGTCCACGCTGTTGCTCTGCATGTGCTTGGATGTAGGGAAGAGGTGCCCCCTTCTAGTGTGTGTGAGCCCTATGCACATGGATGCATCTGCAGCAAGGGAGTGGATATGGCTGGGTATGTGTGGGTATGCCTGTATTTGGGCATGGAGTGCTGCAGCATAGGGTAGTGCTACTCTAGTGCTGCTCTAGAGCACCACTGCAACACTAGTGAGTAAGTGGTTGCTTCAGCTGAGTAGGATAAAAAGACAGGGGCAGCTGTCTGAGGACACACGCAGCAGAGAGTGTGGACCAATGAGGAGGCAGCCAATGTAGACAGAAGCAGTGCACCCTGTGATTGAATTTCAGCTGTGGGGATGGATGGCACTATGAGGAGAGTGGAAACCACACAAGCATGGAAATCACACAATCGTCTGAATTAAAAAACCAAGTAAGAAACCACAGTGTGTGGTAATTATGCAACATGGTTAAGTGTTATGCGTGAGTGCAGCCCACGTGAGGTCTGTTGCAGACTCAAGTCCTGATCTAGGAAGACACAAAGCTTGCAGAACCATGGACTGATTTCTGGTATAGCAACTTGTTCTATGGAGTTTTGGTTCAGGTAAAGTCCAGGCTCTACCCGCTTCCCTGAAAAGCAGAAATTCTTAGAGGTAGAGCCTACAAGACTACAGTCAAGCCTTCCTGTCTAGTACTGAGGAGCAAGCCTGGGGAATGAGAGGTATCTGATGTGGTGGGGCTCAGTTTCCCAGGGGCATCAAGCTCAGCAGAAACTGGTCTGAGTTCAGAGATCTCCAGAAGAGCTACTTCAGTATTGATTTCTAGGATCATGTGTGTGTGTGTGTGGGGGGGGAGGGAATGATAATCATAAGAGTGCTTCCCATGAATTGACAGTTATGGTTGGATCATTTTAATATTCTCCCAGCTTGGTGGAAGAGTTGTTCAAGGATAAACAGCTTTCAAATGGTTAGGGGAAGGAGACCTTAGATGATAGGGAAGGGATGGGGAGGAGGAAGCTTCACTCACTTTGTGTCCTCTGTAGGTCTCTAAATACTGCTCATTATAAGAACAAAAACATTTATGAATATAGCCTTCTTCAGTTCCAGCCATATATATATTCGTGTCCTGGAAACAAAAGCAAATGACAATGTTCAGCTTTGACTTGGTCGAACTTCAACCCTAATTTTCGCTGGAGGAGGATGGTAGACTTGCTTTTCTTTTGCTGCTGAAAATGCTTGGAAAGACTTCATAATGATTGGGATACTTGTGGCCCACCGCTCCCATCATCCTTTGCCAGTGGTGAGGGGTTATGGGATGTATAGGTCAAAACATTTGGAGGGCCACAAATTACCTGTTCCTAGACTAGATTCTAAAAGCTGAAACCAGAGATCTGATGGACTACATAACCCAATAACCAGGGGAATACTATAAAAGCCACTAGATACCAGTACACTGAATCACAAGATCCATGCCTATGATGTGCCTCCACCATCATTCCAAACAAGGAAATCAACTTCATACCAGAAAGAATGTATGCAATCTTAGTATATACCAGGCTTCTCTAACTTGATGCACTCCTGATGTTATGGACCATGGTGCACAGAATTCATGACCATTAAGTATGCTGGCTGGATAAAGTATAAACTAAAGTATATAACTGTCCACCTGGAGGGTACCAGGTTGGGGAAGGCCGGAATATACCATAGGGCAAGAGGAAGGAGCATGTGTCACCCTGAGTTCACATGCTGAAAATTCACTGTATGCAGGAAAAATATGTCCAGTATGAATCCAACTTCAATTTAGGCATTTCTTGAACATGTTAATTTCTTGCTTTGTAGAATGCTTGCTTGCTTGCTTGCTTGCTTGCTTGTTTATTTATTTTTCCTTCTCTTCTGTAGTGCATTAAGAGCATAGCTGTGACATGTGTGACTGATTAAACCAGCTCAGAATGGACCTCCATCATTAGGCTGAGAGGGAACCCTTCATCAGTAGCCAGGATGGATTGCAAGATCTCAGCTGTCTGTGAACAGATGCTCAGGCTATTAATTTACCTGCTTGCTCTGGCTATATAGTAAAAAGGCTGTGAATAATAGGCAGAAACAATCAGAAGCTACTTCTTGCTGTTTAGTCTCCTGGGAAGGTTGTTTGTTATGATGTAAGTGAATGATGACAAAATATTTAGGGCCAGCTGGTGTGAACCAGAATGCTGAAAAAGATTGATTTACCTTTGGATGAAAATCAAAGGCTAGTCCTGGAGCTTGTCGAGATATCAGTGCTTCAGATTTCCTTTCTACTCCCTTTTTCCTTTCACCTGCTGTTCGTTTTAGTTTCATCAGATCTGTGTAAATAAACAATGCAAATAAAATTTGAGACCTCCTGTTTAATTGCAAGTGCCACAGATACTGTACCTTATCTACAGAACACATGGTTGCTGTAAACTCTGTTTGCCCACTGTTAGAGATAAATTGTATAAGATTTGTTGTATGTCTTGTTACAGCACAGCATCACTCCAGTCTATTCAGGCATTCTTATGTGACTAATCGTCAAATGAAAGGAGAGAACATGGATTAGCACACTCACTTTCCTCCCTCTTCATTATTCTCGTCCCCCTCCACAACCTGGAAGGACAATTTCTCCCAACCCAGCTGCTGGAACACTATACATGTTAACCCTTTATTAAAAAGCCAGTATCTATCTTAAGAGTCAGTGAGGTTCTGGAAGCGAAGTGGGACAACCTGAATGAATAAATGATCTTACATTAAAAGTGACTTGATTTGTTGGTCCTGGTGGAGGTAGCACTGGTATTGTTGTATTGTTTAATTTTGTTTATTAGTAATGTTTAATTATGTTCATTGCTATTATATTAATTGTATTGTTTTTGCTAGTTTAAATTTTTAAGCCAGTATCTTGCCAAACAGTTGTTCAGGTGGGGAAGCAGTAAGACTTACTTAGTCCCCACTCCTCACCAAACATTTGGTTGGTGGGATTTCAACATTTTAAAGAAAGTTATGCACATTCATTCACAGCTATTCTGTGCACAGTTGACCAGATCACAGCCTGCATAATACACAGTGTTGTACATTTTGTAATGTCTTTATTATGCCTAAAGTTATTAAACATCTCTATTTCTGTTTATATCCTGCCTTTTTGTATCTAGCACCCAAAGCAGCCACCCATAATAAGAAAAATAAAACTCTTTTTAAATGTTCCTAATAGCAATATGATCGGAAAAGCACAGTTGAAAACCTAACCAGTCAATGACCAGACTTACCAGTGCAGCTTAACCCTTTTCGAACAAACCACTTGGTTATTCTGCCATCTGCTGATATGGAGACAAGTATCTCCCCTTTGTCTTCTCCTGTAGTCCCCCTGTCCTGCTCTACCCACTTCAGCTGCCACACGGGGCCTAAGTGTTTATCATAAGATTCACTGAAACAGAAATTAGCTGGATTCACATAATAGGTAAAACATTACAGAGGGAAAGGGCATTGTGAGAGTGGAATGTCATATGGAGGAAACAACATGCCTCTGCTTCAGAGAGAGAGAGAGAGAGAGAACTATACCAAATTTATTTGACACAACAGCCCACCAAGGCTTCATTGAGCCCTGAGGACTGCTTGTGTTATGCCAGGTGCACACAGCCACCCTTTGGGCATGCAGCTCTGCTTGCCATAGTTTGTCATGTTGTGCAAACTCCGTATCATAGATTGTTTGAGGAGGTAGACAACTCTCAAATCACACTAAACCAAACTGAAGGTTATTTGTCAACTTTCTCAAAACTCACACAACTGGGTTTGCATCAAAGAGCAAGCTACAGATGTACTGCAGCCACATATTCAAAATGTCAGCCACCATGCTCCAGTAAGCCCTGGAGGGAAATTAACCCCAGTGGTTTAGTTTTACAAGTGACCCCAATGTGGCTGTAAGGGCGCTGCAAGAAAGGACAGATGAGATTAATAGAGCCAGAAGGCCTGCAGGTTATCCCTGAAGTTGCCTTGTGTCTTTTTGTTAGGGAGACTGTTTGCTGACTGCTCTTCACAACTGATGCGACTCCTTGAGTCTTTTGAAAGGGACAAGGCTTTCTCCACCACAACTTAAGATCTGCAATCTAGATCTCTCTGTGTGAAAAGAAACAAAAAGGACATATTGCAGTTTTTGGAAGGGAAGGAGAAGGGGAGCTGAGCTCAGCTGGGCTGGGATATTCTGTAAGCTAAAACAGCGTCATGGGATGCAGGGTTGCCTTATTGGAGATCTGGTGCTAGCAGGTGAATTTCACCGCTATCTGTTGGAATGCCTGAGTTGTTCGCCTCCATCTTCACTCAACCTGTGATTTGTAAACCAAGTGAACTATTGCAAAATGTCTGGTAAGCTGCATCTTTGGATGTGCTTCACTGCTCAGAAAAATGGAGAGGGCATAACAATACCATTCAATCATTTCAAAACAGCCAAGGCTGTTCACCCCAGAGATTTGGAGGGGGCGGGGTGTTAGACCCAGATCTATCATATTTAGGCACTGCTTAAATTTCTATCTACAGAACATGATTTTAGCAATGGTACAGTCAAGACATGGAAGTGCCCTGACAAGACTCATTTTAACATACCTGGTATCCAAAACAGAAGTGGAATTATGGGACTGGACATTGTAGACAGCAATAGTTCCATTGAACAATCCAACTGCTAGGAGGTTTGGATTGGCTGCTGAGAAATCCAACGCAGTTACCCCATGAATACAATGGTAGATACGCTCTGGCCACTGGGCAGGGGGGAAAAACTGTTTTAGGTGAGAAAGTGCTCTCAAACCATAGAGACCAAGAATCTCAGAAATGTTTTTAATATGACAAGAGTGAAGGATCAGACATCAGTCAATGATTAATGCTTTTAGGCACATATTTACTACTACTGGTTTATTATTTTCCCATTAAGGACACACTCCGATGGCAGTCAGACAGAGTCTAGATGGTCACAGAAAAATTTGGAATCCCAACTCCAACCTTAAAACACACTCTGAGATGGGAGCTAGAATTCTCAGCATCCTCCCTCCTCCCTCATTGCCAGCATGGAAAAGGCCATGCTAGCTTTGACTTCAAGGTCTGAAGGCTGACCTCGGACCTGGTGATTGGTGAAGGTGTATTCCAGGGGCCAGATAGGGGAGGAGTTGGACTCTGTCAGGACACATTGTATGCTGGCATCACACCAACTTGTCCTTCTTGCAAACTATGGCAAAAGACTTAGACAGCTCAAATTGGCTTTCTGGCTGCTTTACAGGGAGTCAGGGAGAAGTGTGAAGATAACTTTCACCTCTGTGCTCCTCCCATCTTCAGTGGGATGCCCATAACTTTCTAGGTTTGAAGGATTATGGACAGCCACATTGAATTGCACCACAAATGAGCTAGAAGACTGATTTAACAAATAAATATTAAAGGTTGGCTCAATTACACTGCTAGCCTCTCCTTCCCATGGCAGTCTCCCCAGTGTCCTGAAAATGCTATTCAGAAGACCTGCTGAATGAGGTGAGCTGTGGTGTGTTATAGTGGGAGAATTTCTAAAGATCAGGCAGAGGGTCATTCCACTAGAGCCTCTCCTTTCACAAAAAGTCCTTCTTGTGGCAGATCATGGATTGAAGCCAGAAATTAGTAACTTATCAAAATAAAAATTATAAAACACTTGTGGCATTATGGGATTCAATTATTGGCCATTCATTATATGATACTTGCTTCAGAGAAGGAAGAGGCGGATATGATGAGGTAAGGTCCTTCACAGAAATCTGGATTCTTTTCATTAACTGTACTAGGCAACAGCTTTTTCCATTTTTAGTTTTCTCTCTTTATGTTTGTTGTATTGTACTATCTCTGACATGGTCAATTGCTATTTATGCATATTCCCCTGGGAGGAATTCCCACTGAATTCCATAGGACTTACTTCTGAGTAAGCATGCATAGCATTGGGGAGTTATGTAGAGTATAAGCATCCCCTAATTAGAAAGTTGAGAGCAGATTATAAATAAATAATTTGTGATCTTAAGAAATACATTTCTTAAAACTTCTGGCCCTAAGGAAGCATAAAAGTGGAATTCGCTACTAAATTACTACTGTGCCTTACAATGAACAATACAAATTTAATTAGAATCACTAATAGTGGAAGGGCCAAAGTATTTCTCATTGCTTGTTACCATGGGGTTCTTCAATGACCAGCAGCAAGCCAAGCCTTTCTTCTGTTCTTTGTACCGAAACTGCCCATAACCAACAGCCAGAAGATCCTAATAATAATGACAGAGATGTCAATCAAAATTGATAACTGAAATCGCTATCTGCATGATCTTTGAGGCTCAGTTACTTTGGGAGTGGGAAGGAAATAATAGTCCCTCACAAGCACAGAGCAGCATTTCCAGGATCAGCCCAAGACTGTACTGCAAGAGGAAGAATGTTAAATGGTACCATCCCAAGTCTACAGTCAAGGTACATTGTGCCCATGGCTGGGTCAAGGTATTTTTGACACCTGAGACAGAAAATCCCACGAGTGCCTTTCCCTGACCTGGTAGTCAAAAAACACATTGGCTTGGATCCAGAAGCTACCTTCAGTGGATGGAAAGGGTCCTTCTCTCAGCAGAAGTCAAGCAGAGTACTTCTGCTGATGAAATGATGGCTTGATTTCCCTTCCCTGTTCAGTGCCCTACTGACCTAGACCCTCTAGAAGAGTGTCAGAGGTGGGGCTGATCGCTGCACAGAGACAGAAATTGGCAAAGATCAGTTCACTGCTGCCACCAGCATCCTTACTCAACCAGTAGGTGCATTTTGCATAGAAAATGTTATCCAGCACAAAAGAAGCTGGATAAAATAGCCAACTAACCATTTGTGCCACCCCAAATTAGCTGAGGCAGCTAATTAGCTCTGCCTAATGGTGATGGCACAACAATATTAAGGCTGTGCACTGGTGACAGGTTTCCAGTCAGTACTGTTCTCTCACCCTGCTGTGATCCTTACAGCTTTCCATGCTTTCATACCCTTGCTAATACCAATATAATTGGTATTGCTATCATAATCTCTCTTGGTATGCGCTAAAGGGCTATGGCCATGTCATTTTTGGTTAAACACTCCCGATGAGTGGTTAGTCTGATGAAAGTCATGAAATAACAACAGACAATGTAACTGCTGACACGAGGAAAGACGGAACAGGTCAGCTCCTATGAGGGGAATGTGGCTAGGGAGGAAAACGTTTACACAAGCCCTTGGGGCAGAGGAACTGTCCACATTCTCTTTCTCCTGGCCAATTTGGAGGTTGCCCAGCTTTTGTATTTCTAAAAGACTGAAATGTCTCTTCCAAGGCTGGCTTACTGTCACTGACAGTTGTAAGAAAAATACATTATTTTTTGTATTTTGGGCCCATCCTTTTACCACTGGCCAAACGCTTTTTGTATTCAGCCTGGCCTACCACTGGAATACAGTCTTCTAGTGCTCATCTGAAATGGCATTTGGACCTCATGTAGAATGGCCTTCAGTAAGAATGACTTACGGGATTCAGCTTGTTCCATGCCATACAGGTGACACTGTTGCCTTTAGTCAAATCACATCCGTAGGGCCACAAGGCTTCCATATAGGGTGGTGGGATATCTTTTTGCCCTTCACCAAATTCTAACAGCAGTGATGACCTAACAGACAGTGTCTCTTCCTCTTCTTCTTCTTCTGCCTCTTCTTTTTCCTCTTCTTTTGCCACCTCTTCAGCTTCCTTTTCGGATGTAACATCATGTTCAGATTCACTGAGTTCAGGATTCATATCTGGCTCTGGGAATTGTGGCAGACAGAGAGAACTTCATTAACATTCCCTCCTCAAACTGCTGTGCTAGATGAGGCTGGTAATTAGGATGCACCAGCATAATTAAGCTGATGGCTCCCATGAAGCCCAGATTCTTCCGTCACAACAAACATACAGTGGTACCTCAGCTCACGAATGCCTCAGTTCATGACCAAATCGGGTCACCAACAGGAATTTCTGAAAAAATTTGCCTCAAGTCGTGAACTCTGCTTCGGATGACAATCGCGATCACTCCCATCTCCCCCACAAGTGGCCCATGATCGCACCAGTCTCCCCCACAGTGCACCTGCGATTGCCTGTCTATGGCCGTGATCGTAGTCGCGCTCATGCAGGGACGACGAGCACGATCACAGTCATGCTGGGGTGGGGGGGAGATGGTTGCACTCGTGCTTGCGGGGGGAGATGGCTGCGATCTTTGTTGTTCCTTGTCACATTGCATCAAATTTTTGTGGTTTTAAAAAAAATACAGAATGGATTAACCTTATTTACAGTGAACCTTATGGGGAAATTTGACTTGGCTCATGACCAATTTGGGTCACGACCAGAGTCCTGGAACAGATTAAGTTTGTGAACCAAGGCACCACTGTATTTGGAAGTCTTTCCACATTCCACACGTATCCTGGGATGAATGCATCTTGTTCTGCCTCTGTTGCCAAACTCCTCCTTTGCTAAACAGTACAAAGTAGAGACCCCACTCTCTGGCACACCAGCAAGAGCCATTAGACTGCAGAGTATTGATGGCCCCACATCTTAGGAATTCCCTTCTCAGGGAAATATGTATGAATTCATCATTTTTAGTTTTAAAACCAACAACCCCAGGGCCGGTGTGGTGTGGTGTGGTGTGGTAATTAAGAGAGCTGTACTGGGACTCAATAGATGTTGGTTCTAGGTACCACTCAGCCGCGAAGTTAACTGGGTGACTCTGGACCATTCACTGAGTCTCAGCCTGACAGGGTTGTTGTGACGCTATATGGATGGAAGGATTAAGAAAGCCACCTTGGATTCTTTGCAAAAGGATGAAAGGCAAGATAAGAACACAATATAATAGTAATAATGTCATAATGAACACCATCATTGTCATTGTCATCTTGAAAACATTATTGTAACTCGTATGCTCTTGTTTTTGTAATATTGTAAGCCATCTTGTGAGAACAGTGTTCACTAAAAGACAGGTTAAAATACTTAGAATAAATAAAGTTATGGGGGTCAAATCCAGCTGCAAGCAAAGCATCAGTTAAGAGCAGCAAAACATCCCTTGCTAATAGGCATGTGTGAAGAATCCAACAAGGGTGAAAATATAGTAGATTTCATGATTCAGCCACCCTGATTCTAATTCATTTGTCCCATGTTAATATGGACTTACTGCTGTGGGAGTCAAGACAGCTCATGGGATTTCATCTCTAAGATGGCTGCAGCCTTCACATTTTATTTTTAAACACTAAATAGATATGGGAATTCTCCTCAACTTAGCTTTGCAGCCATGCCATTCAAGTCTCAAACATTTGCAATTCCTTTTAGAAGCATGAAAAGGATTAATCTCCAACTAAAAATGAAGTATCTGATAATATATATACCTATGAGGACAGGAAGCTGCCGATAAGCTGCAAGTTTAGTCTGGAAAATATTCTCCATTAGGACCCTCTCCATGTAAAATAAATCTTGATGAAATTTTTCTGATTTTAGTATTGCTTCTGCGTGATCTTCTTCTTCTTCATGTATGTGGGACAGAATTACACTTTCAAGGTCAATGATAGAACTGGATCCACTGCTCTCTAGGGATGAAAAACCAAGTATCATAAAGGGTACATTTAGCACACTTTGAGAAAAAGTTAGCACAAACTTCAGAAACCACTTTCAGTATTACCAGGCTGCTTTAGGGTCTTGCCTGGTGAGGTAACCTTCATATGCTTGGCACTGTAACTGACAGCAACCATTTATTAAAACTTAAACTGCTGTTTCATATGGGCTATTGTGATTGTATTTTGCTTTTGATTTTGTAAACTGGCATATAATTTTGATGATTAAGATTTGCCTAAGATTACGTCCCATTAAATACACTTGGACTTACAGCTCAGTAAACACTCATGGGTTTGTGCTATTAATTTGGGTTTATTTCAGGTTTTTTTGTATGTTGGGTCCATCCTTTTACCACTGGCAAATGTTTTTTGAACTCAGCCCTGCCTACCACTGGAATACAGTCTTCTAGTATTCTTAATTACATAAATCTTTACTCTGTAATGTGCTGATTCATCATACCCCACATGTGTGTGTGAGGATTCCATTAAAATGGCTTTGGAAGTTACTCAGAACCCAAATAGAGCAATAGGGAAAATGCTGTGTATCCAAGCGTGCTAGAGTGGAATGATGCTGTGTCATTGGGTCTTAATTTGAATCTCAATTGTGAATTTACTTGATAGTGTTACTAGTGCTCTTATAGTAATTTTTAACCTGTGTCTTCTATTTTGTTGTCCTGAGCTTAGGAGATGGTAGCTTCAATGTGTTTGCCCTTATGGAAGGCATGACAGTGCAATACCATAGTATTCAACATGGTGACCTGTTAGGTTGTGGAGCAGAAAAAACAAGAAGAATCAATTCAAGCCAAAGATAGAATAATTGTATTATTTCCATGGAACTGGATTAATTGTAAAATATGTCTCTCCCTTTTTATGTCTGCCTTAATCCTCCTCCGACTTGCTTAAATACATTTGGATATACAGCTGAATAAACACTACTAGGATTGTGCTATCAATTTGGGTTTATTTTGTCCCTTACTAGGATAGTAAATTGTAAAAAGTTTAGAAAGAGGGTTCTCTCACAGTAGTACTCTTTGCCACAATACACTAGCAATAGCATACCTCATCCCTAGGAGAACCACCTAGCTGTAAGAGGTAAAGCGGTAAAGTCATGCTCCTGTAGAATTGATTTACACAATTGTGGTGAATAGGTAATATTTGAAACTTTACATGGCTAGGAGTAGAAGGAGAAATGTAAATTTGTATGAAAAGTTACCTCTGTCCACAGAAGACATTGTTTTGTCACGGTCTTTGAACCCAGCTGATTTACTGCTACTCCCACTTAGTGGTCTGTTGGTTTTTTCTAGTGATGCCACTTCCAGAGCATTAAAGGAATCATGTAAATCCCAGGTAGTGGCTATGATCTCTAGGGACCAAGGACATTGTTAGTTAAGTCTGTTCTATAGGTATTTCCTATATGTATGCCACCTTTCAATCAAGAACAAACTGTTTTCTGTCATTTGGCAGTTTGCAATCATAAAAAATTTGATTAAAACAATACATTAAAATATAGTAAAAAATAGCAACAACAGAATAAAACCAACACCCAGCCCAACATAACTACTTACAAGTTGAAAACCTCTTTCAATAAAATGGACAGACAGTGGAAGGACAGCAGAGAGGGAGTGAATTTATCCCCTACTGAAAGAACCTGAGAGCCACCAAGACAGCCTTCTCTAACATCACCAAATCGTATACCTCTGAAGGTGGTGGTGTTGTGACAAATAATAATGTGTCTAGACACTAATTAGGGCAGACGCATGGTTGACAAAGAGGCCATAATATGTTGATATTACAAAGAAATCCAGCTAAGCAAATTCTAAGGGTACTTATATTTGAAGTTTTTATCATGCAATCGCCGTAACAGGGTTTCAAGCATGACCATCTCCCATTACTTGCATGTTTTCCAACAGCTTCTTCCATTTTGGTTCTATTCTTAAAAATCTGGTAAGATGGAACAGTTAGAATAGCTGTACAATGTGTTTTGTTCAGTAGTGCTAGGACTCCAACATGTGAAAGTACTCCAAGGACACAATCCTACACATGTTTAGACAGAAAAATATTCTACAACTCCCACCATAAAATTGTGACCTTAATATTTATTTATTTAAAACATTTCTATGCTGCCCCCATCGCAACAAAGCCTCGGGGCGGCTCACAACATAAATAAAAATACAATCAATAATTTAAAAACTGACACCATCTCGGCTATATATTAAAATCTATAAATAAAATAATAATAAATTAACAGTTAAAATAACTTTTAAATAAAAAGGTCTTTACCTGGTGCCGAAGAGCAAATAATGACGGCGCCAGGCAGACCTCTCTGGGGAGCGCATTCCATAGATCTTCAAAGTACCTCAAATATCTTTTAAACAACTCATTTAATTAGCTAGGGTAGATGTAAACAGAAGTTGCCACATTCATTTGTAATTGCATATTCTTTTAGGAGATTATGTATCAAGTTGCTAATTGCGAGGTTGTGTCTGACCCTTTGCAACCCCATGGACAACACTCTTCCAGGCCTTCCTGTCCTCCACCATCCCTCATAGTCCACCCAATCCCACCCCCACAATCCCCATGTCCCCATCTAGCCACCTCAACCTCTGCCATCCCCCTTTCCTTTTGCCGTCTATTGTTCCCAGAATCAAGGTCTTCTCCAGTGAGTTGTTCATTCTCATTAGGTAGCCAAAGTATTTCAGTTTCATCTTCAGTATCTGACCTTCTAAAGAACACTCAGAGTTGATTTCCTTTAAGATTGACTGATTCGATTACATTGCCATCCAAGGGACTCTCAGGAGTTTTCTCCAGCACCACAATTGAAAGGCCTCAGTTCTTCGGCGCTCAGCCTTCATTATAGTTCATCTTTCACAGTCATACATTGCAACTGGGAAAACCATAGCTTTGACTATACGCACTTTTGTCAGCAGGGTGATGTCTCTGCTTTTTAGTATGCTGTCTAGATTTACCATAGCTTTCCTCCCAAGGAGCAAGCGTCTTTTAATTTCTTGGCTGCAGCCAGGGTCTGCAGTGACCTAGGAGCCCAAGAAAATAAAATCTGTTCTTCCCCATCTATCTGTCAGGAAGTGATAGGACCAGTTGCCATGATCTTAGTTTTCTTGATGTTGAGTTTCAAGCCAACTTTTGCAGTCTCCTCTTTCACCTGCATCAAGAGTCTCTTTATTTCCTCTTCACTTTCTGCCATTTGAGTGGTATCTGAGGTTGTTGATATTTCTTCCAGCAATCTTCATTCCAATTTGTGATTCATCTAGCCCAGTCTTTCACATGCTGTGCTCTACATATAAGTTAAATAGGCAGGGTGACAATATACAGCCTTGCCGTATTCCTTTCCCAATTTTGATCCACTCAGTAGGTCCATGTCCATTTCTCACTGTTGCTTCCTGACCCGCATGCAGGTTTCTCAAGAGGCAAATAAGATGGTTTGGTACTCCCATCTCTTTAAGAACTTGCCACAATTTGTTGTGATCCACACAATCAAAGGCTTTAGCTTAGTCAATGAAAAAAAACAAGACCAGCATGTTCTCTTGCCAAACTCTGCTAGCTTTTGCCCTGCTTCATTTTGTATTCCAACGGCAAACTTGCCTGTTATTCAGTTATTTTTTACTTCCTACCTTAGCATTCCAATCCCTCATGATGATAAGGACATCATTTTTTGGTGTTAGTACTAGAAGGTGTTGTAGGTCTTCATAGAATCGGTCAACTTCATCCTCTTCAGCATCAGCAGTTGGGGCATAGACTTGGACTACTGTGATGTTGAATGGGTTGCCTTGGATTCAAACTGAGCCCATTGTGTCATTTTGGATTGCTTTGCCCACAGTAGTATACCTTATGTTCATCTCAATTAAATTCACCCATTCCTGTCTATTTAGTTCACTGACTCCCAAGATGTCGAAGTTCAGGCTTGTCATCTCATGTTTGACCATGTCCAGCTTACCTTTATTCATAGATCTTATATTCCAGGTTCCTATGCAGGATCAGACTTTCCTTTCACCACCAGATACGTCCACAACTGAGTGTCCTTTTGGCTTTGACCCAGTCGCTTCATTCTTTCTGGTGCTGCTAGTACTAGCCCTCTGCTCTTCCCCATTAGTACATTGTATACCTTCCAACCTGAGGGGCTCATCTTCTGGCATCATATCTTTAGCCTTTTGGTACTGTCCATGGAGTTTTCATGGCAATGATACCGGAGAGGGTTGCCATTTCCTTCTCCAGTGAATCACCTTTTGTCAGAATTCTCTGCTATAACCAGTCCATCTTGGGTGGCCCTGCATGGCATAGCTCATAGCTTCATTGCATTACACAACCCCTTTGCCATGGCTAGGCAGTGATCCATGAAGAAGAGAAAAACTATTGGGTGGATCCAAAATTGGCCAGCTGAATTCTACACAAGGAGTGCTCATCAATGGCACCTACTCAAATTGGATAGAGGTAACTAGTGGGGTGCCACAGGGTTCATTCCTGGGCCCAGTGCTCTTCAACATCTTTATTAATGATTTGGATGACAAAGTACAAGGAAAGATTTGCAGATGATACAAAACTGGGTGGAGTAGCAAGCACCCTAGAAGACAGAATGAAGATCCAGGGCAATATTGATGAAGTCAACACTGGGCTCAAAGCAACAGAATGAGATTCAAGAAGGACAAGTGCCATGTCCTCCACCTAGGAAAAAGAAACCAAATGCATTGATACAAGATGGGGAATACATGGCTCAACAGAACTGAACATGAAAAAGATCTCGGAGTAATTGTGGACAATAGGCTAAACATGAGCCAACAATGGAATGTGATGCAGTTGCCAAAAGGGTAAATGGTATTTTGGGATGCATTAGCAGAAGTATTACTTCCAAATCACGAGAAGTAGTAGTTCCCCTATACTCCACACTAGTAAGACCTCATCTGGGAGTACTGCATCCATTTCTGGGCAACAAGATTTAAGAAAGATGAAGAAAAATTAGAAAGGGTCCAGATGACAAAAGCAACAAAAATGATCCAGGGTTTGGAACACTGTGTTTTGATGAGAGATGAAGAGAACTGGGCATATTTAGCCTTGAGAAGACTGGGGGGAGGGGGACATGATTCCCCTCTCTAAGTACCTCAAAGGCTGTCACAAAGAGGAAATTTGAGATCTCTTCTTGCTGATGCCAGAGTGCAGGACTTGGAATAATCAAGTCAAGCTGTGACAACCCAGATTCAGGCTGCACATCAGGAAAAGCTTCCTCACTGTCAGAGCAGCAAGACAGTGGAACCAGCTGCCTAGAGAGGTGGCAGGCTCTCCCACACTAGAGACATTCAAAAAGAAACTGGACAGCCCTCTGAGTGGGGTGGTGCAACGTGGTGTCCTGCAACAGCAGGGGGTTGGACATGATGGCCTTCATGGCCCCATCCAATTCTAGTATTATATGATTCTTTGAAGAGAAATGAATGCCTCAACTTTATTCATGCTGATAGTTTTTGACAAAATCCCTCATTTGCTTGCATTACATTTGTTTTGGACCTCTAATGGCATAGCATTGGAAATCAAGCAACTGTTACTATTGATATTATTTATCAATTAACTAGCACAATTCCAGGGCATTTGCAGATCTGTGCCTGAGGCAGAATTTCTACATTTGAAGCAAAATTCCTTCCTTCCTTCCTTCCTTCCTTCCTTCCTTCCTTCCTTCCTTC